TCACCTCAGCCCCCACAAAGTGCTGCTATTACAGTCGTGAGCCACCGCGTCCACTGAAGTTACAGCTTTCAGAATTTGTTTAGCGGGTTTTCCGGTTTTCACTTGAAAATGCCCCGCCACCCCCCAAAAATTTGTTGAACTAGTTGGCGTTTAAAACTATACACATTCCTTTGTTAAAGTAAAAATTAAAATAAATAAACACTTTTTTTTTTTTTTTTTTTTTTGCGACAGAGTCTTGTCCTGTGGCCCAGCCTGGAGTACAGTGGCGTGATCTCGGCTCACTGCAACCTCTGCCTCCCAGGTTCAAGCGATTAGCCTGCCTCAGCGTCTAGAGTAGCTGGGACTACAGACACACACCACCACACCCAGCAAATGTTTGTATTTTTATTAGAGACGGGGTTTCACCATGTTGGTCAGGCTGGTATTGAACTCCTGAGCTTGTTGTCTTCACACCTTGGACTCCCAAAGTGCTGGGATTACAGGCGTGAGCCACCATGCCCAGCCCAAACTTTTTTTTTTTTTTTTTTTTTGAGCCAGAGTTTCGCTCTTGTTGCCCAGGCTGGAGTGCAAATGACATGGTCTTGGCTCACTGCAACCTCCACCTCCTGGGTTCAAGCAATTCTCCTGCCTCAGCCCCCCGAGTAGCTGGGATTACAGGCTCCCGCCACCATGCCTGGCTAATTTTTGTGTTTTTAGCAGAAACGGGGTTTCACCATGTTGGCCAGGCTGGTCTCAATCTCCTGACCTCAGGTAATTCGCCCCCTTGGTCTCCCAAAGTGCTGGGATTACAGGAGTGAGCCACCGCCCCTGGCCAAAAACATTTTTTAAAACCTGCTATACGACTTCAACGCCCTAGCTGCATCTCCATTTCTACACCAAATCTTTCTGGTTTCTCAGTCAAGGACTCACTGGTCACAATGACTTTCAAATATTGGCACACTATAGGGGCTGGACACCAGCACTGCAGATGCAGATCCTGGAAGTCCATTTTATTCACACACAGTAGACTTGGCCCTGAAAGACTGCCACTCCCCAGAACATTTTAGGGGCTTACACCACCACATATAAGGATAGATAATACATTATAAATTTTTTTGGTTTGGGTTTTTTTTTTTTTTTTTTTTTGAAACAGAGCAGAGCCTCGCTCTGTCACCCAGACTGGAGTGCAGTGGTACAATCTCGGCTCACTGCAACCTCTGCCTCCCGAGTTCAAGCGATTCTCCTGCCTCAGCTTTTTGAGTAGCTGGGATTATAGGCACCTGCCACCATGCCTGGCTAATTTTTGTATTTTCAGTAGAGACGGGGTTTCACCACGCTGGCCAGGCTGGTCTGAAACTCCTGACCTCAGGCGATTCGCCCGCCTCAGCCTCCCAAAGTGCTGGGATTACAGGCATGAGCCACCGCGCCCAGCTAAACGAAGTAGCCACTTTTCTATTCCCATCTATGAATGAGGAAACCACGACACAGAAAGGGCAAAAGGTAAGTAACTAGCTCAAGGTTGTGCAGATGGTAAACAGCAAAGCTGTTCCATTGGACCCAAAACTATATTCTTAGCACTTTCATTCTACTGTGTTGCTGCTACAGGAATGGGCAGGTAGGGTTTATCACAACAGCTGACATTCACTATGTGTCAGCTCTATGTCACTATGATTCCTATGTGTCAGGCACTGTGATGAGTGCTTTATGTGCATTATCTCAGTCAATCTTCACAGCAACCATACGAAATAAGTACTACTGGCCGGGCGCAGTGGCTCACACCTGTAATCCCAGCACTTTGGGAGGCTGAGGCATGTGGATCACTTGAGGTCAGGAGTTGGAGACCAGCCTGGCCGACATGGTAAAACCAGGTCTCCACCGAAAATACAAAATTAGCCAGGTGTGATAGCAGACGCCTATAATCCCAGCTACTCAGGAGGCTGAGGCAGGAGAATTGCTTAAACCTGGGAGATGGAGGTTGCAGTTGCAGTGAGCCAAGATCATGCCGTTGGACTCCAGTCTGAGCAAGAGAGTGAGACTCCATCTCAAAAAAAAAAAAAAAAGAAAGAAAGAAAGAGAAATAGGTACTACTATCTCCATTTCACAAATGAGGACACTGAGGCACAACCCAGCCGATCTTCCTCCAGAGCCTGCATACTTTACCACTGCAGTCTAGCGCCTCGTTCCCTAGATTGATGGAACAGAATAAAACGAGAAAATAGATTAGGCATATATACCAATGTAGCATATGATAGAGGCACCATCTCGAGTGAGTGAGGAAAGATGGATTGTTTGAAAAGCATTTGCAACTAGCTTACCATTTGAAAAGAAATTAAGGTAGATTTGAATCTCACATCTTATACCAAAACAAACACCCAGAGGATTAAAACAATTTTTTTTTTTTTTTTTTTTTGAGACAGAGTCTCACTCTGTCGCCATGCTGGAGTGCAGTGGTGTGACCTTGGCTCACTGCAACCTCCGACTCCCTGGTTCAAGCGATTCTCCTGTCTCAGCCTCCTGAGTAGCTGGGACTACAGGCACACACCACCACGCCCAGCTAATTTTTGTATTTTTAGTAGAGACAGGGTTTCACCATGTTGGCCAGGATGGTCTCGATCTCCTGACCTTGTGATGGCCCACCTTGGCCTCCCAAAGTGCTAGGATTATAGGTGTGAGCCACCGTGCCCAATCCAAAACAATTTTAATGTAAAAAGTGAAACTCTAAATATGCTGCAAGCAAATGTGGTACATGTTTCTCTAATGCTCAGCTCAAGTATCATGTCTCCCAGGCAGCCTTCCTGCGCCTTGATTCTGTCCTGCAGGGTTGGCCCCCATCTCCCTCGTCTGTGCTCTCATCAACTCTCTTTTATAGATGGCAATAACCATATTGAGCCGCACGGATTTTGTTTCTCTGCCTATCCTGCCCCCAGGACCATTGTATCCCCAAGATCAAGCACAGTGTGGGAAATGTAGCCGGGTTTCCATAAATGTAAGATGAGTGAGCGCGAGAGAGAAGGACAGTTTGGCATTAGATGGTCTCCAGAAAAACTGACCTAGCTTTCCTGGTCCCAGGAAATACAACTACCCCAGAGAACCCAGTCTGCCAGACACAGGGTGTTTGGCCTTGAATAGCACTGGACAAAAGACAGAATATTCTTACAGTCCAACTCCTTTCTCTTCAATCTCTGTGCAAATCATTACCATTCCACTACTACCTCAGGATGAAGTACATGTGATTACAATAGGATATGAGAGGCAGAGCAGCTTGGGAGTTTAAAATTGGGGTTTTGGGGAACATGTCATCAGGACCTCCTGAGGCTGTGTCATGGTAAAAAATAATAATAATAAATTTTTTTTAATTGGGGCTTTTGCTGGGCATGTTGGCTCATACCTGTAATCCCAGCATTTTGGGAGGACAAGGCAGGAGGATCACGTGAGGCCAAGAGTTTGAGACCAGACTGGACAACATAGTGAGACCTGGTCTCTATACAAAAATATATTAAAAATGGACAGGCACGGTAGCTCACACCTATAATCCCAGCACTTTGGGGCTGAGGCAGGCGGATCACCAGGTCAGGAGTTCGAGACCAGCCTGGCCAACATGGTGAAATGCCATCTCTACTAAAAATGCAAAAGTTAGCCGGGAGTGGTGGTGCACACCTGTAATCCCAGCTACTGAGGAGGCTGAGGCAGGAGAATCGTTTGAACCCGGGAGGCAGAGGTTGCAGTGAGCCAAGATCATGCCACTGCACTCCAGCCTGGGCAACAGAGCAAGACTCTGTCTCAAAATAAATAAATGTTATATATATATGTATATGTGTGTGTGTATATATGTGTGTGTGTATGTGTATATATATGTGTGTGTGTGTGTATATATGTGTGTGTGTGTATATATATGTGTGTGTGTATGTGTGTATATATATATATATGTAAATATTTTAGCTGGGCATAGTAGAGCACGCCTATAATTCTAGCTACTCCAGAAACTGAGGCAGGAGGATTGCTTGAGCCCAGTGAAGCAATTTGGGAGACAAATTCCTAATCTAAGAGCCTCTGTACTGAAGATAAAAGGATATGCAAAGTTAAACAGAACACAGAGAAGGAGAGGACTATCTGGAGGGAAGGCTTCTAAGAGGCCCAGAAGCCTGAGTTGATACTGGAAAGATGAGTAAGAGTTGTTTAGGTGAGGGGTGGGGGCATGTAAGGCCAAGGGAACAGCTTGAATGCGAGGCCTGAAAGTTCGTGGTGGGCAATCTTTTGTGGCTGTGTCTGAGACAAAGAATGTTTCATGGGGGGAGTGGCAGGGATGAGGTTGGAAAAGCTGGCCAGGGTCAAGTGATTAAAGACCCCTTAAAAGTATTTGTGGGCTGGGCGAGGTGGCCCACGCCTGTAACCCCAGCACTTTGGGAGGCTGAGGCAGGCAGATCACTTGTGTTCAGAAGCTCAAGACTAGCCTGGCCAACATGGCAAAACCCCCTCTCTACTGAAAATACAAAAATTAGCTGGGCACAGTGGCATGCACCTGTAATCACAGCTACTTGGGAGACTGAGGCGGGAGAATCGCTTGAACCCAGGAAGCGGAGGTCGCAGTGAGCTGAGGTTGCACCACTCCATTCCAGTCTGGGTGACAGAGCAAGACTCTGTCTCAAATAAATAAAAGTATTTGTGTTGGGCACTTCACCTGTAAAGATACACATAGGACTGAAAATAAAGGGAAAAGATATTCCATGCCAATGGAAAGTAAAGCAGAGCAGGAGTAGCTATACTTATATCTGACAAAGTAAATTTCAAGACAAAAACTGTAAGAAGAGACAAAGAAGCTCATTATGTAATGATAAAGGGCTCAATTCAGCAAGGGGTTATGATAATCATAAATATATATGCAGCCAACAGTGGAGCATCCATATATATAAAGCAAATATTATTAGAGTTAAAGAATAGAAGAAGAAGAGAGAAGAATGACCCCCCGGACCGACCAAAGCCTGCGCACCCAGCGCCTACGTCCCGCCGCTGTTGCCACCACCATGCCCAAGGGAAAGGCTGAAGGGGATCCTAAAGGAGATAAAACCAACGTGAAGGACAAACCACAGAGAAGATCCACGAGGTTGTCTGCTAAACCTGCTCCTCCAAAGCCAGAGCCCAAGCCTAAAAAGAGCCCTGCAAAGAATGGAGAGAAGGTACCCCAAGAGAAAAAGGGAAAAGCTGATGCTGGCAAGGAGGAGAATAACTCTGCAGAAAATGGAGATGCCAAAACAGACCAGGAACAGAAAGCTGAAGGTGCTGGAGATGCCAGGGGAAGTGTGTGCATTTTTTATAACTGTGTACTTCTGGTTCACGCCTCCTGGGTTCACGCCATTCTCCTGCCTCAGCCTCCCAAGTAGCTCGGACTACAGGCACACACCACCACGCCCAGCAAATCTCTGCATTTTTATTAGAGACGGGGTTTCACCATGTTGCTCAGGCTGGTCTCAAACTCCTGAGTTTGTTATCCTCCCACCTCGGCCTTCCAAAGTGTTGGGATTACAGGCATGAGCCACTGGGCTCGGCCCAGATTTTTTTTTTAAGCTATGTTGTTAGCACACAGAACACTTCATTGTCGTTTTTGGGAGAAGGAGCAAATGTCACTAATAGAATCTCTGAAGCTGGATTGATGTGGGGAAATCATCTTTTCCTTCTAGTTCTGAGAGACTTCCTCTTGGCTCCCAGGAGGAGGGATTCGCTGACTTTGACACACATGGCCACCTTGGCACAAAAGCCTTGTGGGAGGGAAAAACAAATTTGTTTTTATGTCCTCTTCTCCCTTTCCATCTTTCAGCATAGATTTAACTCCCTTAAGCCCAGACATCTGTTGAGACCTGACCTCCAATCATTGGTTACTAGTGTGTCAGGCAATGTGGACTTTCCAGTGATGTCACTGAGATGGCACCTGTCAAAACGGCAGTGGTGCCGGGTGCGGTGGCTCATGCCTGTAATCCCAACATTCTGGGAGGCTGAGGCGGGCAGATCACCTGAGGTCAAGAGTTCAAGACCAGCCTGGCCAATATGGTGAAACCCCTTCTCTACTAAAAATACAAAAAATTAGCTGGGATTACAGGCATCCACCACCACACCCAGCTAATTTTTTTTTTTTTTTTTTTTTTTGAGACGGAGTCTGACTCTGTCGCCCAGGCTGGAGTGCAGTGGCCGCTGGAGTGCAGTGGCCGGATCTCAGCTCACTGCAAGCTCCGCCTCCCGGGTTCACGCCATTCTCCTGCCTCAGCCTCCCGAGTAACTGGGACTACAGGCGCCCGCCACGTCACCCGGCTAGGTTTTTGTATTTTTTAGTAGAGACGGGGTTTCACTGTGTTAGCCAGGATGGTCTCGATCTCCTGACCTCGTGATCCGCCCGTCTCGGCCTCCCAAAGTGCTGGGATTACAGGCTTGAGCCACCGCGCCCGGCCTGAAACCCCTTCTTTACTAAAAATACAAAAAATTAGCCGGGTGTGGTGGTGGATGCCTGTAATCCCAGCTACTTGGGAGACTGAGGCAGGAGAATCTCTTGAACCTGGGAGGCGAAGGTTGCAGTGAGCCAAGATTGTGCCACTGCACTCCCGCCTGGGCACGACAGAGCAAGACTGTGTCTCCAAAAAAAAAAAAAAAAAAAAAAGTAGTGGTTCTATTTCTAGATTGTGGATCTTCAGATAAGTTCTGCCATTTTTATTTCACTTCCTGAAAGTCAGGGTTGGCTTGTGAAAAGTTGTTAAACAACATGCTAAATATGAAATGTCAACCCTCACTCTAAACTTTCCCTGTTCAGAGCATCAGATGAAGACTTCATTGGGTTTTATAGTGGCTTCCTGAGTTTGGTAGTCCATTGAAGAAGGGAATTTGAAAGTTGTTGTATAGTGTTAACGATTGTCTGCCCACGTCCTGCCTGAAACACCATGACGGTTTATGCAAAGTATCTTTAATAAAGCTGGATACAGTTTGGCTTGGGAAAAAAAAAAAAAGAATAAACAGCTGGAGACTTCAACACCTGACTTTCAGCATTGGACAGACATCCCAGAGAGAAAATCAACAAAGAAACATCGGACTTAATCTGCACTACAGAACAAATGGACCTAGTAGATATTTACAGAACATTTCATCCAGTGGCTACTTCTCACACATTCTTCTCCTCAGTATAGGGATCATGGGATCATTCTCAAGGATAGAACATATGTTACTCCCAAAACAGGTCTTAAAACATTCAATTCAAAAAAAAATTGAAATAATATCAAACATCTTCTCTGACCACAGTGGAATAAAACTGGAAATCAATAACAAAAGGAATTTTGGAAACTATTCAAATACATGGAAATTAAACAATATGCTCCCGAATGACCAGTGGGTCAATGAAGAAATTAAGAAGGAAATTGAAAAATGTCTTGAAACAAATGATAATGGAAACACAACATACTAACACCTGTGGGATACAGTGAAAGTAGTACTAAGAGGGAAATTTATAGCTATAAGTGCTTACATCAAAAAAGAGGAAAAACAGCCTGGGCAACATGGCAGAACTTTGCCTCTACAAAAATACAAAAATACAAAAATTAGTCGGACGGGGTGGTGTGCACCTATAGTCCCAGCTACTTGGGAGGCTGAGGTGGGAGGATCACTTGAGCCTAGGAGATCGAGGCTGCTGTTGGCCATGATTCTCGACACTGCACTCCAGCCTGGGCAACAGAGCGAGACCCTGTCTCAAAAAAAAAAGAAGAAGAAAAACAACCAAATAACTGAATGATACATGTTAAAGAACTTGAAGAGGCAGAGCAAACTGAACCCAAAATTAGGAGAAGAAAAATAATAAGGTTCAGATCAGAAATAAATGAATTTGGGCCAGGCACATTGGCTCACGCCTGTAATCCTAGCACTTTGGGATGCCGAGGGGGGCAGATTGTCTGAGCTCAGGAGTTCGAGACTAGCCTGGGCAACACAGTGAAACCCTGTCTCTACTAAAATACAAAAAATTAGCTGGGTGTGGCAGCATGCGCCTGTAGTCCCAGCTACTCAGGCTGAGGCAGGAGAATTGCTTGAACCTGGGAGGCAGAGATTGCAGTGAGCTGAGATTGCACCACTGCACTCCAGCCCAGGCGACACAGTAAGACTCTGTCAAAAAAAAAAAAAAGAGAGAGGGAAGGAAGGAAGGAAGGAAGGAAGGAAGGAAGGAAGGAAGGAAGGAAGGAAGGAAGGAGAAAGAAATGAATTTGAAATGAAGAAAATCCCATCTCTACTAAAAATACAAAAAATAGCTGGTCGTGGTGGCATGCACCTGTAACCCCAGCTACTCTGGAAGCTGAGGCAAAAGAATCATTTGAACCTGGGAGGCAGGGTTTGCAGTGATCCAAGATCGTGCCACTGCACTCCATCCTGGGCAATAGAGCAAGACTCCAGCTCAAAAAAGAAATAATAAAAATATAAATATAAAATAAAAAAGATCAGGCCAGGCGCAGTGGCTCATGCCTGTAATCCCAGCACTTTGGGAGGTCCAGGCGTGCAGATCACCTGAGGTCAAGAGTTCAAGACCAGCCTGGCCAAGATAGTGAAGACCCATCTCTACAAAAAATACAAAAAATTAGCCAGGTGTGGTGGCGGGTGCCTGTAATCCCAGCTACTCGGGACGTTGAGGCAGGAAAATCACTTGAACCTGGGAGGCAGAGGTTGCAGTGAGCCGAGATCGTGCTACTGTACTCCAGCCTGGGTGACAGAGTGACTCTGTCTCAAAAAATAAATAAATAAATAAAATTAAAAAGATCAACGAACAAAAAGTTGTTTTTTTAAAAGATAAACAAAATTGACAAACGTTTAGCCAGACTAAGAAAAGAAAAAGAAAAGACCCAAATAAATAAAAGCATAGATTAAAAAGGGGACAGTGCATCTAATACCGCAGAAATTCAAGGGCTCACTAGTGGCTACTATAAGCAACTATATGCCAATAAATTGCAAAATCCAGAAGAAAATGATAAATTCCTAGATACATCTAACCTACCTGGATTGAACCATGAAAAAATCCAAAACCCAAATAGAGCAATAACAAGTCATGAGATCAAAGCTGTAATAAAGTCTCCCAGTAGGCTGGGCATGGTGGCTCATGACTGTAATCACAGCACCTTAGGAGACCAACGTGGGAGGATCGCTAGAGCCCAGGAGTTGGAGACCAACCTAGACAACATAGAGAGACCCTGTCCATATTTTTAAAAAGAAAAAAAAAAAAAAAAAGTCCAGGCACAGGGGCTCACGCCTGTAATCCCAACACTCTGGCAAGCCAAGGTGGTGGATCACTTGAGGTCAGGAGTTCCAAGCTGCCTGGCCAACATGGCGAAACCTGTCTCTACTAAAATTACAAAAATTAGCCAGGCGTGGTGGTACGTGCCTGTAATCCCAGCTGCTCAGGATTCTCAGGCAGGAGAATCACTTGAACCCGGGAGGCAGAGGTTGCAGTGAGTGAAGATCATGCCACTGCACTCCAGCTTGGGCGACAGAGTGAGAGTCCGTCTCAAAAAAAAAAAAAAAGAGGCCAGGCGTGGTGGGTCACAGCTGTAATCCCAGCACTTTGGGAGGCCAAGGCAGGTGGATCACGTGAGGTCAGGAGTTCAAGACCAACCTGGCCAACAAGCTGAAACCCCATCTCTACTAAAAATACAAAAATTAGGCCCGGCACGGTGGCTCACGCCCGTAATCCCAGCACTTTGGGAGGCCAAGGCAGGCAGATCACCTGAGGTCAGGAGTTTGAGACCAGCCTGACCAACATGGAGAAACCCTGTCTCTACTAAAAATACAAAATTAGCTGGGCATGATGGCACATGCCTGTATTCCCAGCGACTCAGGAGGGTGAGGCGGGAGAATTGCTTGAACCCAGGAGGCAGTGGTTGCAGTGAGCTGAGATCGTGCCATTGCACCCCAGTCTGGGCAACAAGAGCCAAACTCCGTCTCAAAAAACAAAACAAAACAAAAAAATTAGTCTGGTGTGGTGGCAGGCACCTGTAATCCCAGCTACTCGGAAGGCTGAGGCAGGAGAATCACTTGAACCCCAGCGGCAGAGGTTGCAGTGAGCCAAGATCGCACAACTGCACTCCAGCCTGGGCGACACAGTGAGACTCCATCTCAAAAAAAAATTTACCCAGCTGTAGTCCCAGCTACTTGGGTAGCTGAGGCAGGAGAGTCACTTAAACCTGGGAGGTGGAGGTTGCAGTGAGTCAAGATTGCACCACTGCACTCCAGCCTGGGCGGCAGAGAGAGACTCTGTCTCAAAAGTAAATAAATATTTTTTAAAAATACAAAAAATAAAAAGTTAGCCAGGCGTGGATCCCAGCTACTCAGGAGGTTGAAGCAGAAGAATCACTTGAACCCAGGAGATGGA